TAATCCAAGTACTTAAATCATAGTCCTACTCTCTACACTTCCACATGTAAAAATCTCGTGCAGCTCTACTCTTCAGAATCTAAAAAAAAAGAAAGGGTAAGCTAGATAGCCCAGTAAATAACCAACCGTCACTGCTAGCTGGATCAAGTATACAAAAATAAATAAATAAATCGATAACTAATAAATATAATTTTTCTACAGTTCAATAAATGAACAATTATTTGTAAGATGGTTTTATAACTAAAGATAAACAATGTACAATACATTTTAAATGAAAAGCCAACAAGATAATTCAAAGTAATTCATTGTTCAAATCGATGGTTTAATGATTTGATTCACAAAACCCAAGTCTTGGTGACTACGGTTACTTAGCCTGTGACAAAGCCTAGAACCACACATAGGCCGGTGGTAAAACCCCAAAAGAAACTAGTTTCTGTGCCAATAAATAACCCCCATTGGCTAGGGTCCAAATCATAGTCAGACTAGAGTGATGTTCAAAATTCAAACAATACACAACTTTTAAATAAAACATTCAATATTTTCAGAATAAACGTTTAGTACAATTTTCAGAATAGTTTCACCAAATATTCAAATAATTTTCATAATAATATTCGATGTTGTTTTATACTTGACCCATATTTTATTTTAAGAGAACATGAAGGCTATAAATAAATATTTATGATTTTAAACGATTCGATAGGAATAAAAAAAAATGAACCAACAGTGATAGAGGGTTACTTACCTTCAAACAGCTAAAATAATATTTTCCAAGCTAATCTCAAATTACCAAGATCCACCTCAATCTCACAAACCTAATAAAATATTAAACTGCTTAAACAATTATTATGTGCACCCATCCATCTCTTCTTGTAACAACAATAGAATAAATTATCCCAATAGTCTATTAGGAACTCCTACGATTTAGCATCAAAACAAAGCCATCACGGCTTCAGAAATTCTCAACCTATATTATTCTATTGTTGTTTATATACATGTAAAAATTTGTAATTGCTTGTAGTCAATCGTGTATCCCACAAATACACCACCATTAAACTTAACCCATCACATATCAATCTCAAAATATGAACCACCCAAACGGGATGCAAAATACACTCTAAACTTGAGCAAAATCGAGACCCCCAACATAGACTACATCAATATATCTATTTAATCATATATGCCCATAAAATCATCTATTGATATATTAACACCAAAATTATAGATAAGAATACAATAAAATAAATCTTACCTAAGTGATGAATAAAGCAAAACCACCACTCTTATGAATCCTCCCTCTTCCTTTTGGTTTAGGTCTCTCTTTTTTTTTTTCTTTTTTTTTTTCCACTCTTCAAACCGTTGAGCAGCAGCAGCCTCCAAATACCTAGCAGCACTTTCACAAGGCTCCATTTTCTTTCCTTTTTTCTTTCTTTTTTTAAAAGGGTTGAAAACCTAATTCTTAAGATTACTAAATTACCCATACAATTTATTTTAATTATTAATCTATCCAAAATAATTCTATAAATAACTTGGGTTTTACATTCTTCCCCCCTTAAAAGAAATTTCGTCCTCGAAATTTGACATACCTGGAGTCTTAAAAGTTGTGGATACTTTCGTTTCATTTCATCCTCGAGTTCCCAAGTTGCTTCTCTTTCTAAGTGATTACTCCATTGAACTTTAACATAGTGGATGACTCGACGCCTCAAAACCTGTTTCTTTCTATCAACAATTCGTATAGGGTGTTCCTCATAAGTCAAATCCTCCTTAAACTGCAACGGTGCATGATCAATCACATGACTAGGATCCGGTACATACTTCCTTAACATTGAGACATGAAAAACATTATGAACTCCAGCTAGTGAAGGTGGTAGGGCAAGTCTGTAAGCTACCTCACCAATTCGATCTAAAATCTCAAATGGCCCAACAAATCTAGGACTCAATTTTCCACAAACACCAAACCTCATTACTCATTTCATAGGAGACACCTTAAGGAACACATGGTCTCCAACCCCAAACACCAAATTGTGTCTCCTGTTATCTGCATAACTTTTCTGTCTACTCTGTGCCGTGCAAAGTCGCTCTCTAATAAGATTGATCTTGTCCACTGTTTGTTGCACAATCTCAGGCCCTAACAACTTCCTTTCACCCACATCAAGCCAACAAATAGGTGATCTACACTTTCGTCCATATAAAGCCTCATATGGTGCCATCTGAGCTCGCATGATAATTGTTATTATAAGAGAATTCCACTAAGGCCAAATGCTCATCCCAAGAACCTCCAAGATCAATAACACAAGCCCTCAATATGTCTTCCAAGGTTTAAATAGTTCTCTCTAACTGTCCATCAGTTTGAGGATGAAAGACAGTGCTAAAATTCAAACTAGTGCCCAAAGCTGTATGCAAACTCCTCCAAAACATAGATACAAATCTGCTATCTCTATCAGACACTATGGTCACCGGAATACCATGCAACTTCACAATCTCCTTGATATACAATTTTGCAAACTTTTCTAAGGAGAAGCCTACCTCAAAAGCTAGAAAGTCAGCGAATTTGGTCAATCGATCAACGATAACCCAAATAGCATTGTTACCACCTTGGGTCCTAGGCAACCCTGTCACAAAATCCATGGTAATATGTTCCCACTTCCACTCGGGAATAGGAAGAGGTTGTAACTTACCTGCAGGTCTCTGATGTTCAACTTTCACTTGTTGACATACCAAACATTAATTTCCCTCTTCATATTATTCCACCAAAAGTTCCTCTTCAAGTCTTTATACATTTTAGTGCTCCCTGGATGTACAGTATATCCTGAATTGTGAGCTTCTCTCAGGATTTCTCTCTTGAGCTCTAAATCATTAGGCACACACAACCTCTCTCCAAATCTCAAGGTTCCATCTTTATGTGTACAAAATTCCATCTGTAGCCCTATTTCCATTTCAGCCTTAAGTTTTTGCAACTGAGGATCTCTTCCCTGAGCATCTTTAATTCTATCAATCAATGTGGATTGAACTCTAAGGTTTGCCAACTGCACTCCATGGTTATGCCATCTAATCTCAATATTCAACCTCTACAAGTCCTCCAAGATATTCTTTTGGTCAGTGATCAAGGTAGCCGAATTACTCGAGGTCTTTCTACTCAAGGCATCCGCCACTGCATTGGCTTTTCCCGGATGATAATTGATAGTCAAATCGTAGTCCTTTAATAGCTCCAACCATCGCCTTTGCCTCATATTCAATTCTTTTTGAGTGAAAATATACTTCAGACTTTTATGATCAGTGAATATCTCACATTTCACCCCCATACAGGTAGTGCCTCCAGACTTTCAATGCAAACATCACGGCAGCCAACTCCAAATCATGCGTAGGATAATTCTGCTCATATGGCTTCAACTGCCTAGACGCATATGCCACTACCTTATCATTCTGCATCAGGACACAACCCAAGCCCATCTTCGATGCATCACTATAGATGGTAAAACCTTCATCTCCGGACGGAATTATAAGTACTGGAGCACACACCAATCGACTCTTTAGATCTTGGAAACTCTTCTCACAATCATCAAACCACTCAAATTTAACCCCTTTTTGTGTTAAACGAGTCAAAGGCATAGAAATTCGGGAAAATCTCTCAACAAACCTTCTATAATAACCTGCTAAACCCAAGAAGCTACGAATTTCAGTGACACTAGTAGGCCTATTCCACTCTACCACTGCCTCCACTTTCTTGGGTCAACAGACACCCCATCTCTAGATATCACATGACCCAAAAATGATACACTCTCCAGCCAAAATTCACACTTCTTTAATTTAGCAAATAATTTCTTCTTCCTTAATATCTGCAACACTATTCTTAGATGTTCTTCATGCTACTCTTTACTCTTCGAGTACACAAGAATGTCATCAATAAAAACTACCACAAACTGATCTAAGAAGGGTTTAAATACTCTGTTCATTAAATCCATAAAAGTTGTAGGCGCATTGGTCAACCCAAACGGCATCACTAAAAATTCATAATGCCCATATCTAGTTCGAAAGGCTGTCTTAGGTATATCTTCCGCCTTAACCTTCAACTGGTGATAGCCGGAACGAAGGTCAATCTTATAAAAGACTTGTGCTCCTTGCAACTGATCAAATAGGTCATCTATCCTAGGCAAAGGATATTTATTTCGAATTGTCACCTTGTTCAACTCTCGATAATTAATGCAAAGGCGAAAACTACCATCCTTCTTTTTCACAAATAAAACAGGCGCACCCCAAGGAGAAACACTAGGCCGAATAAAGCTCTTATCTAGTAACTCTTGTAATTGTTCCTTCAACTCTTTCAACTCTGCCGGGGCCATCCGATACGGAGCCTTGGAGATAGGACCCGTGTCGAGTATCAATTCAATGGCAAACTCAATCTCTCTATCTAGTGGTAACCCCGGTAACTCTTTAGGAAAAACATTGGGAAATTCTTTCACAACTAGAATATCCTCTAACTTCAATTCAGTCTCACGGGTATCTCTCACAGAAGCTAAATAGCCCTCGCAACCATTCCTTAACAACCGTCTAGCTTGCAAACCTGAGATTACCAGAAGAGGAGTGTTAACTCCACTACACACAAAACAAAATTCTGGTTGATTAGGAATCTCAAATACTACCCTTTTGCCTTGACAATCAACAGAAGCATAATTGGTTGCCAACCAATCCATTCCAAGAATTATGTCAAAGTCTCGCATATCTAAAACAGTTAAGTCTACAAGCAATTTCCTGTCATCTATACTAACCACACGAGATTTGCAAATTAAGTCGGCAACCATAACACCTCCTATCGGGGTTTCGACACATAAGTCGATCTCTCTAGAGACACATTTCCATCCATGTTTCTCAACAAATCCCATAGACACAAATGAATTTGTAGCGCCAGAATCAAATAACACATGTGCATAAACAGAAGACACTAAAACAGTACCTGACACCACCGTGTTGGAAATCTGAACATCTTGTTGCATGAGTGCGTACACTCAACCCTGAGTCTTTGGGTCTTGACCTCCATTTTTCTTTTGACTTCCTGAAAACCCTTTGTCTATTGATGCTCCTTTATTTGTCCATGTTTTCTGTTCAATCTCATGCCCCTTCCGGTTAGGGCAATCAGCTATCCTGTGCCCTTGTTGCCCGCAAGAGAAACAAGCCCCAGTATTCCAATGACACTCACTATCCTGATGGAATCCATTACACCTAGTGCACTGTACCGGATCGTTCTGCTTGTCAACACTACCACCCATGGTTCGACTTCTCCAACTCCCAACCGAAGAAGTGTTTTGTCTCTTAGCATGGCCCTTCGAACTGTTGTTAGTTTGGAAGTTGGAAGAACTAGGCCTCTTCTTATAATTCTCTTCTTTCTCTTCTTGGGCTCTAGTGAGGCCACTCTCAACCAACAAAGCCTTATTCAACATTGCTCCAAAAGTAGGTAACTCGAAAGGAACCACCTGTTGCATAATGTTCGTTCTTAGCCCACTTTCGAACTTTCGTGCTCTGCTATCCTCGTCTGCTTCAAATGTTGATGCAAATTTAGACAACTTCGTAAACTCGGCTTCATATTCTGCAACCGTCTTATTCCTTTGCTCTAACTTCGAAAATTCCCTTTGTTTTTGTAGACGAACACTCCTAGGGAAGTATTTTTCATTGAATGCATTCTTAAACCTTTCCCATGTATAGGGGTTGGCATCATGCTCGTGTATGCGCTTCTCCATCTGCCACCAATCATTAGCTATCCCTTGTGGCATAAATGTAGCATAGGTCACCTTCTAATCATCCGTACACTCAAAAACGGGAAATAACTTTTCCATTTCTGTCAACCATTTTTCAGCCTCCAAAGGGTCTGTGGCTCCATCAAATGCCAAGGCTATCTTCTTAAACTCAGTAATGTTACAACGTGGCCTCGGTTGTGGCCCAACACCTGGTTGCATCCGTTGTTGTTGCTCCATAAGTCTAGTCAAGTCATTCCCTATGGTGGTTTGTTGTTGCACCACCCTGACCAAAGTCTAAAGCACTTGAACCATTCCAATTGGATTGGGGATTGCAGCCTGTTCTTGTTGTCCCAACTCTTGCCCCTGATTTCCTCCGACTGCTTGAGAACCACTACCATTATTTGTCACATTCCCTCGCCGATTGTTATTACCAGTCCGTCGATTCGTTTGACCCTGGCGTGTATTCCTAGCCATATTTGCCAATGTCTCCTCATGTTCCATTGCAACCTATATGCATCAATAATAAAACATCATCTCATTCCATTCTCAAGCTCCTATAACATAAAAATAAAATTAACATTATATCAAATTATAAGCGTTCCCAATCCTACATCTACCCAATCTCACCACTATTCTATACCAGCCTTTAAAATTATAACTTGGCTCTGATACCACAAAATTGTCACGCCCCAAGCTCCGTGACAACGCCGCACACTCATATAAGTGAGCATGCAAGGCTAAGAATCCAATCACATAACCCACAATGTAAAATACTCAAATTAAATCCTTAATTGTCATAATGCCAAAATCCATAAAAGTAATAGTTCTTATATGAAAATGTCCACCAAGTCCACTAATTTAATCCACTAACAAAACAATAATCCAAGTACTTAAATCATAGTCTTACTCTCTACACTCCCACATGTAAAAATCCTATGCAGCTCTACTCTTCAAAATCTGAAAAAAAAAAATAAGGGTAAGCTAGATAGCCCAGTAAATAACCAACCATCACTGCTAACTGGATCAAGTATACAAAAATAAATAAATAAATCGATAACTAATAAATATAATTTTTCTACAGTTCAATAAATGAACAATTATTTGTAAGATGGTTTCATAGCTAAAGATAAACAATGTACAATACATTTTAAATGAAAAGCCAACAAGATAATTCAAAGTAATTCATTGTTCAAATCAATGGTTCGATATTCAGATGGTTCAATGATTTGATTCACAAAACCCAAGTCTTGGTGACTACGGTTACTTAGCCTGTGACAAGGCCCAGAACCACACATAGGCCGGTGGTAAAGCCCCAAAAGAAACTAGTTTTTGTGCCAATAAATAACCCCCATTGGCTAGGGTCCAAATCATAGTCAGACTAGAGTGATGTTCAAAATTCAAACAATACACAACTTTTGAATAAAACATTCGATATTTTCAGAATAAACGTTTAGTACAATTTTCAGAATAGTTTCACCAAATATTCAAATAATTTTCATAATAATATTCGATGTTGTTTTATACTTGACCCATATTTTATTTTAAGAGAACATGAAGGCTATAAATAAATATTTATGATTTTAAGTGATTCGATAGGAATAAAAAAAAATGAACCAACAGTGACAGAGGGATACTTACCTTCAAACAGCTAAAATAATATTTTCCAAGCTAATCTCAAATTACCAAGATCCACCTCAATCTCACAAACCTAATAAAATATTACACCGCTTAAACAATTATTATGTGCACCCATCCATCTCTTCTTGCAACAACAATAGAATAAATTAGCTCAATAGTCTATTAGGAACTCCTATGATTTAGCATCAAAACAAAGCCATCACGGCTTCAGAAATTCTCAACCCATATTATTCTATTGTTGTTTATATACATGTAAAAATTTGTAATTTCTTGTAGTCAATCGTGTATCCCACAAATAGACCACCATTAAACTTAACCCGTCACATATCAATCTCAAAATATGAACCACCCAAACGGGATGCAAAATACACTCTAAAATTGAGCAAAATCGAGACCCCCAACATAGATTACATCAATATATCTATTTAATCATAAATGCCCATAAAATCATCTATTGATATATTAACACCAAAATCATAGATAAGAATACAATAAAATAAATCTTACCTAAGTGATGAATAAAGCAAAACCACCACTCTTATGAATCCTCCCTCTTCCTTGGTTTGGGTTTCTTTTCTTTAATTTTAAACTTGTTTTTTTGTTTTTTTTTTTTTTTTTTTTTCTTTTCTTCTACTCTTCAAACCGTGGAGCAGCAGCAACCTCCAAATACCTAGCAGCACTTTCACAAGGCTCCATTTTCTTTCTTTTTTTCTTTCTTTTTTTAAAAGGGTTGAAAACCTAATTCTTAAGATTACTAAATTACCCATACAATTTATTTTAATTATTAATCTATCCAAAATAATTCTATAAATAACTTGGGTTTTACATCAATTGTCACACCCCAAATCCGAGCATGACCGGTCGTGGCCCACAGGGACTTAGCCCAAGGCAGACGTAAGCCTAAACATGAACCCAAAAACCATAAAGAATAAATGTGATGATAGCCTAGAAATAAATAAATCAACACTCAATCCAGTGACATACCACAAGTGAAAACAAGTCATAACCAACTTCCTAAAAATATATATATATACTAAATGGGACACAAACCGCCCATAAAATAAAATAATTCTAAATAAAACCCAACCACAATGTATGCACAAAACTTGACAAAGCAATCTAAAATAAATTAAATAAATGCCCTAGAGGTCCATGCAATTGAGTCCCCGCTACACCATGAGTCCACTCTAAGTCCTTCTAACACCTGGAAATGGTAAACAACTAAGTCAGCTGATAGCTCAGTGAGTAGCAACATGGATAGTAAATACAGTTTTGAAAACATGGTTCAATTCCAAAATAAGATATATATCATAGAAACTAGATTGGCATACAGTTTGGTAAATACAATCTGTTTCAAAAAGAAGGTTCCACAGTTCAACACTTAAAATACTCATGTCTCGCAAGAACATGATAAACGACATTTTTCACTTAAAACAGATTATAACATGAACACCAATAATTTTCTAGGTACCAAGAAAAATAAATAATATGCCACACAGTTCTCAAGGCTATAAGCCCCGTTGGATCCAATACCGAACTAAAAGTCATCCTCAGGGTGGCAACCTGGGCCTTTTCTCAAAGACGATCCGATTTAAGGTCACCTAGTTGTTTTTAAAGGTCATTTCCTTACAATCGTTGAGCACTAGAGTAGAGTCATCATGGCCCAACCCGGATCTGTTCCCTAGTGGCCAGAGTCACCAACACACAGTGGAATAATTTCCCTGGACTAAATACACACATGGTCCCAATAATCAATACACATCATTTTGCAAAATATGGTAATTCATCTTTATAAACATGAGACCAAAACAAATAGTTTACAGTATGCCAAGTTCACACATGTTTCAGAAATAATTTGATTCCATGATAATATAATAATTTATCAAAACAGTTTAGTCATGAAACAACAATTTAATTTTCCAACAGTTCAGGGTAGGGGAACATTTATAAAAATATGTAACATGAAACTACCACCTGAAACGAAATAATATAATCCTTGAATAGAATATAAAAGTCAACTAGTGCCCTGAACCAGTATGAAAACTACACGTCACTACTAATTTAAAAATACTAGAGAATAAGAACTAAGTAACCTCAACTAAAGCGCACTAACACGGCTCAACCCAACTCACCGTTACTCTTAAATATTACCTAAGTTCACGTTCTTCAAGGTCTAAAATCACCCAAGACATGGGTTCCGATCAAAACTTAACAAAAATAACTTTAAGATAAAACAGAGTTTCAAACAAGCCTTCCCAACATATTCGCTAACTTTGAAAATTACAAAACCCACTCCACGCTATTCGAAAAATTCCAATAACTCCAGATATGATCTAGTATATCCTAAGTTTCAAACCCAATTGGTTTCACTTGATTTTCTTATCAAAATATTATCTACAATTTATTATATCCAACAGGTTGTTTTCTGCAGCACTTTAAAGAAATTGACGGTTTTCTTAGTATACATGAGCAATCAACGCAAGGTCAAAAATGCAAGAAACTAGACTCGTAACCGGTTCTAATGACACTGATTTGATAATTTTTGGATTTATACCAAAGAGACAACGCTCCCGAATTTACTGTTTCGGACTGGTTTCCTGGACAGATTTGAATACCTCAATTTATATGATTTTGACTCCCAAAAATTATGAAAAGATTCAGATATGCATTCAATATGTAACTGATCTACTGTAAAAATTTCAGACTAAAATTCATCTGTTTGATATGTTTTTCTTGATTTTTAAAGTATGCGATTCTGTGCAGAATTTTTGGACTAAAATTACACCCAATCTTTACACATAAATTTAGCTCCTCAAGTTCTTAATAGGATATCTATATACACAAACATAAACCTACAACCTCTCCATCAATGACTAAATAATCATAGAGTAAGGATAAAGAACAAAACCTTAAGGAAGAAGAAAGAAAAGACCTAGTACACACCCAAAAATCCATCCTTCTTTGCCAACCCCTTTTTTTCTTCTTCTTTTCTCTCAATCTCTCTCTCTCTCTCTCCCCCATGGCTACCTCCTGCTGCTGCTATAGAATGTATTAGGCAACCTAGGGTTACATATGTATCTACAACAAAATGCCCTAAAATATTATCTTTATATTACTTTATTTTCTAACACATTAATTTAAATAAAATATAACTATTAATATAACAAAATATACTTACTAATTGCCCTCAATATTTTTTTTAAAAATAAAAATAAATCTTGCTTCTAAATTAAATGCTTTCACCACAAATTTATTTTAAGTTTAAAATTAATTAAAAGATCCTCCAATAATATTAATTTGCACCTTAGAATTCACCACCAAAATATTTGAGATTGTAATATTATTATTTAATTATTCTTAATTTTTTATATTCGGGTTCTCTCACATTCTCCCCTCCT